AATGCGCTGGGCAAGCCAACAGCCCGGGTCAGGCCTGCCTCATCCCAAAAGCCTCCTCTAACTTGCGCACCCATGCGCCTCTTCCTGCTCCCCTGACACTTCGTACCTCCCTGTCTTGTTTAGGCCACGCTGCCCACCCCGCTGTTCAAGGGCGAGGAAGCATTTTCCCCTCCTGCACTCAGCCCTCACCCCCCTCCCAGAGCACCCCCGTGCTCCTCACCCACTTCTCCCAGCTTGGGGCACTCCCTTCGGCGGGTTCCTCACACGGCTTTCTGACCACAGGCACCTTCTCCCACCTCCCCCACCGCTGCTCTGAACCGAAGCGCAGCCTCGCCGGGGCCTAAAGGATTGCTGGAGAAGGACGTGAAGTCTGCCGCAGGAGCGGCAGCAAGTGCATTTTCCTGTTTGATTCGCATCTCACCGGACCGTGGGAGCGCGTGTTCGGCGCGAGACCCGTTTAACGACCGCTCTGCCTCAACCCAAGCGCGACAAGACCTGCGCGCGCCCCGGCAGTCCACGCACCTGATTTTCGGTTGACCTGATTCTGTGGAATGATGATCTGGCACGAGTTGGCATCGTTCGTATTCTTGATCGGGTGGCTCAAGATACAGATTACCCGAATCACTTGGCCGACCTTCGTTACGCGGTCCGAGACGTAGCTGGGGTCGCAGATGAGCTGTTTGCAGCGAGCGACCTGCAGAGAGACAGATGGACACTGAGTGACCACCGCGCGGAGGTGTGCACGCAGCCAGCCAGAGGCGAGGAACCGGCTGATTTTGAGGAAAACCAAGAGCCATTTTGAGGCGGCTGTTCCTGCATCAGGTTCTCATTTCACCGCCGGCAACATGCTTCAGCTCGGACAATCCAAATCTCGGTGCATTACTCTTAAAGGACTACACAGAGCTGCGTGTCGTCACATCTTCCCCTTCACTCAGTACACAGTTAAGCAATAACCGCTACAGAGCCCAGTCCTTCCAGTCTAGGACCGTAACTTGCTGCGGTCAAGGCTGAACCAGAGACGAATTGACCGGTTCGCATTAGAACTCGTTTTTACAGTAAGAGTTTAGTATTTGACCAATTTGAAGCCTCCAGGCAGCCGGCACTTGGGCACATCAGTCTATAGCACGGATTAGCACCTCCACCGCTAGCCAGGACACATCATCCCCTCCCCAGAAGGGACATGTTACCCTACCAGCAAGCGCTAAACTGTCCTGCGAAGCTCCCGCTCCAGTTGGGAGCGCATTTATAGCTTCCAAGCAGTTCGCAGCACTCTCCTTAGTTTTTACATTGCCAGGTTGAGAAGAAGCTGCGGAAAGGCTGCGTGCCAGCTGCCCGAGCGGCTGATACTTAATGTCAAGGGCAGAGCTGGTTTCATACCCAGGTCAGACACAAGCAAGCAGCTCCTTCCCAGTTTAGCCAGCCTGATTTATTCAGAAAACCACCTTGCCACCCCATGAAGACTTCACTCCAACTCCTGGAGTGGGACTACGGTACTGTACTCCTCACCACGAAAACATCCACATGTCTTAAGCGAGCTGGCACGGGGGGAAACGGCACCGGCCAAGCAGTTTTGGTCCTAGGGTTTTGATGAGGGGTTTTCTACTTCATTTGTTCAGATCGATGACCGACAGCCTCAGTTTTGAGAGGCAGGATGTGGGGTGGGGAGTAAGGAAAGAATTGGAAGGTACCGTACCTCCCCTTCAGACTTCACACCAACCACTTTGCCGTTTTCTATCACAATCTCTTCGATGGGCTTGTTCAGCATGTAGGTGCCTCCATATATAGCGCTTAGCCTGCAAGAGTAAAGCCACTTCAGCATGTTCCACAGGTGAGCGTTTGGTTTTTAACAGCCCTTCCAGCCCCTCGTTTCTGTTCCACTTGGACAAACCACACATTAGACTTAAACCTCTTCAAAATACGCTGCTGAAACATCTAGGCAGCAGATAGTGTCTGCTGTTCCTTCTGCGAGGTATCAGCTGGTATTTGGAGCAAATTACAGGTGCAATTACATCCAGCTAGAAAGAATCTGCTTGGTGCAACCCAGACAGTCCTACAGTGTAAGAGCTGCAGGCTACGCCACATGGGCAAACCCGACTTCTTGGAGAAACCACATGCTGCAAACGGTTCTCTCTGAGCAAACCCAGAACTACCACCCCTAACAGGAATCGCGGTAAACAAGCCCAGAAAGAAGCAGTCTCACATGAAGGAATCGCTTCTTGATTAAGACAGCGAGGGAACCGTTAACGACCGCAGTATTTTTATGCGGCATCACATTCTGGAAGCCCGAGCACTGGCTCCACACATCTGATCCCCCACCAGGTACCGCAGCAGGGTTGAGAAAACACTGGAGTCCAAAACCAAGTTCTCACCTTGCAAATCCCTGGGGCAGCTCTCCAAGGCCGTAGAGGGGATAAAGGTACGGGCTTTTACCGTATCTAGCCAGCGACTCACTGTAGAGCTTAATCCTGTTGATTGTTTCTTGGCATGGTTGATCTAGATAGCTGGAGGGGCAGTTACACGATTTGCAACGTTTCACAAACCAAGACTTACAGCAGAATACACTCAGAGAGCAAAACGTTTACTTCCCATGAAGTTTCCTTCCCCACCCTCCGGCTGCTCCCGGCAAGTATTTCTCTGGAATTTCCCTTTTAGAAGCACTTAGTGTCACAGGGGGTTTTATTCAGGAAGGAGATAGAATCATAGAATCATTAAGGTTGGAAAGGACCTCTAAGATCATCAAGTCCAACCGTCAACCCAACACCACCATGCCCACTAAACCATGTCCCTCAGCGCCTCATCTACACGTCTTTTAAATACCTCCAGGGATGGGGACTCAACCACTTCCCTGGGCAGCCTGTTCCAATCTTTAACCACTCTTTCAGTAAAGACATTTTTCCTCACGTCCAATCTAAATCTCCCCTGGCACAACTTGAGGCCGTTTCCTCTCGTCCTGTTGCTTGTTACTTGGGAGAAGAGACCGACCCCCACCTCGCTACAACCTCCTTTCAGGGAGTTGTAGAGAGCGATGAGGTCTCCCCTCAGCCTCCTTTTCCCCAGGCTAAACAGTCCCAGTTCCCTCAGCCGCTCCTCATCAGACTTGTTCTCCAGACCCCTCACCAGCCTCGTTGCCCTTCTCTGGACACGCTCCAGCACCTCGACGTCCTTCTTGGAGTGAGGGGCCCAAAACTGAACACAGTGTTCGAGGTGCGGCCTCACCAGGGCCGAGTACAGGGGCACAATCACTTCCCTGCTCCTGCTGGCCACACTATTGCTGATACAGGCCAGGATGCCATTGGCCTTCTTGGCCGCCTGGGCACACTGCCGGCTCATGTTCAGCCGGCTGTCGACCAGCACCCCCAGGTCCTTTTCCACCAGGCAGCTTTCCAGCCCCTCTTCCCCAAGCCTGTTAACTTGCTTCATTAATATTAATATGCTTCATTAACCCCAGGAACCCACAAACTTTAAATACCCCGTCAGCAGAGGACCCAGTATTTTAAGACTCATGCAGCGCTCAGGGACAGAAACACTTTGCGAGACATCCTACCCTCAATTTGCAAGGCCTGTGCTGCAAGCGCCCAGCACCCCAGCCAATTTGGGGGAGCAACTGAACCCACACTTACTCGTCAGTCCTGTAGAGCGCGAGGGCATGGCCCGTGAAGTCTATAACATCCTGCCCCAGGTCAAACTTCTTATACACGTCGCGCATGGTAGTCTTCTTGGGGTCAACGCCTTCGAAAGTTCGGGGGTCGTTCTCATCAAAGTTGGCAACGTACACTAGGAATTTCCTGAACCGGCGTTTCTCAAACAAGCCCATTAAGCCTAAAAACAAGGTATTTTGTCAGAACTTACACAGCTACTAAATGGCTTCTCCGTTGCCACAGAGTATCAGAAGTGGATAAGAACTGACAAGTGTTTTACACATCACTCAATAACGTGGAGTTCGGCCTTGAGTGCTGACCGAGGCTCTCCATTCAAGCAGGAGACACACAGACGTCTGCCAAGCCGGTCCTCACTGGCAACTGTCCTGGTGCGCCCGACCTCGAGGTGGTACAGCCAACTTCTCAAAGGCGTGGCTGGAGGCCGAGCTTCTACGCTACTTTCAGCTGGGGGAAAGCTTGGAGAGCAGTTTCCACTTGGCCCGGTGTAAAGCCCGACCTGAGCTTCCCTAAGCAGAGACCTGCGCTTGGTATCTACCAGGCTTAGCATCACCCAAGCGTGGTGATCAAAGCTCCATCAGAGCAAGCGGTGCTGGGCTCTCCTGCAGCCTCGCCAAGGAACTAGCAAGTGCTGTGAGGGTCAACATTTCAAACACGAGATTGGACAAGGCACCATTTATACGCTTGAGTTTTCTACAGATTGGAGAAGCGAGACTGGACTTGCTGAAACACGAAGGCAGAGACAGCACCAAAGGCACCTCCTACTTCTGCCAGTATGAGTCTCTTAAGAGACCACGGTGAGACAGCAACACGGCCAAATTGAAGGAATGACCGATTGCTTCACAGCAAATGGGAATATCTGCCATAAGGAAGGCTCCAACGCAGAGAAGCCGCATACCAGGAGCCTTATTTGCAGGAGTCACTTTATCACGAGATTTTTTTTGGAGATGCTACTAAATACATCCCGCATGTGAAGCTAATGGACTGCCCTCTGCCAGCTCCTAACGTATTTCACTACGCTATTATGAATGATCAGTAGTTTTATCTGAAGAGTGAAATTTAAGCAGACAACAATTAAGATTGAGCCAGGTACCGCATATCGGAATTAGTCATTCCAATTTGCCTGCTGATAAATGCAACAACGTTTTTCACACACATAATTCCATCCAACAAGGACTCAACATTAAATATTTATGGCAGAGCTGGGAGCATAAGCCCCAAATGTAACCTCTTGAGGAAGTAAAATACTGCCAAATTCTCACCAGATGAGCCATAGAACAGGCAGCTTGACCGGCTCCATCTGAAAGCTCCAAGAAAATGGTAACTCAAAGCTCAGGAAGCCCAAGACTCCTTGAGGTGTTTGAAGTCAAATGAGATGCAGAAGACTCCTATGCTAAGCACAGCTTGTTACTGAGACGGAGTCTACACACAGCACCACGTGAGGAGCGTCAAGATTTCTTTTCTACATGAGCACAGAACATCCTCAGACGTGGGTGGCAGAGACCTGTCTTGCTTTTGTTTAGAGACGGTAGCCTCAGGAGGAAACAAAGCAAGGTGCAACTACTCACTGGATGCCAAGGCTTCTGCCTCAGTGGAAGGAACTTTGTAGATCTTTCCTCCCTTGTAGACGAAGCTTCCCTCGATCACCTTGAAGTCTAAGTAGCGAGTGACTTCTGTGTAGAGCAGCATCTTTACCAACTGACCTGGAAAGGAGGTTTGGCACAAGTCAACCAGCTGGTCTGTAGCCAGAAGCCAAGAGGAGGACAGTGCTTCTCACAAGGCAGACAGTTCTTCCAACACAGCAAACCCTTCAACGGCAGCACCACGTTCAACCCACACAGCTCTTACACCTTTGTGTAACATACAGGTTGTGGCAGATACTCACTAGCGCATTATGAGGCAGTTTTAAGACTTTCTTACAGGCAATTAACAGCTTCCTCGTCACTCCTGCGGTTTCTGTCAGTCCTCTGAGTAAAGGCCATCCCTCAGCATGTTTCCCCCTTCGCTGTCCCCACCCGCTGTCACATCCCCAGAGGGATGCTGTCCCTTCAAAATGCACCACAATGCCTATGCAAGCCGAAAGTAAGCCGAGACTAGAGTAACCAAACCTTGACTGGAATCTATCAAGTCTTCCACCACGCTAACCTTGAGCGAGACTGGCACTACACGATACATCTATCCCCTCGTGCTTCAGGGACAAGAGATTCCAGTAGCAAGTGGTTGGTTTTTGGCAAAACGAGTTGCCCCTGAACTTGTTTGCATTGATAATCGCTTCACCGATAGTGGATTTGGTCCAGAAGACCTGTCCCAGTACTGGAACACATAGATTAAAGAATGAGGATTTGTAGCATCAATAAGAGATGACAGAGTCTGCAAGCCATAAAATAGGAACAAAGGGGATTAACAGTCACCATGGAATCAACTGTTTCTTCCTGAGCCATGGAATCAACCGTTTCTTCCTGAGCCATGGAAGAATAACAATGCACAAATTCATGGCATTAACCCTGGCTAGAAATGCAAACACTTTAAGAGAGGATGTTGGAAAACGGACGTTCAAACCTTCCAGACATGCCACTGCTGCACGCTCCAAGCTGGAGCCATCTTCCGAGTTTGAGAGGTCCACAGGCGAATCGAGTCACAGAGCAGAAGCCGTGGTGCTTCTGGCATAAGCGCATGCAGATCAGCTCGAGTGAGCTTTCTGCAGCTCTTTGATTAATGCTTCAACAAGTTCACGAAGAGCTAGCTGAAGGGCTGTTCATTCCATTACAGCACTGAACACTAACCCAGGCTAAGCTTACGAGGCAGATTTGGGAGCTCAGCATCACTTACCGTTAGCCATAAGGAATTTTGGAATTAGGTCCACGTTCCAGTCTCTTCCTCGCCCCATAGATTCTGGTGGAGTTCCTGGTAGATTAAACCTTTTGTAGAGCTTCGGAGAGAATACAAAACTTATTATAGCAGAGGAAATATCTATGGGTATAATTTCTCCCACACATGTACACACTTTCCACCCCCACATCTCCCCAGCTGAACATAAGCTCTTCACAGCAAGCTTCTGGCCAGCGTTTTAGCTTGAATTTGACTTTTGAGGCAATACACAAAGCACATCCAGTAAATTCTTACAGTAAGAATCAGGCAGCATTATTCTGCTCATCCAGTCTTCCTTCCTCCAAGGCTTAAAGCTTGGGAATTTATGACCTGCTGAACCGAAATACTGTTTAACATAGCTAAAGGTAATCTGATCACAATTCCTACTTCAGGAGAGGGCAGGCTCCTCCAATAACTTAAATCAGATTCTCTGATATAAATATTTAACGCGATTAAGCAGCAAGGAGAGCAGTGATTTCCTGACATCTGATTAATCAGCCACACTAATGGCTTTAGGGGTACACAATCACAGGGCGCAAGCACTAACCAAAGGAGATGGCGCCTATCTAGCTGGAAGTGCTCGCAGACCGAGGGCCAAGTGTAACGTCAAGGCACGGAGAGCACACGGCATTTGTCAGGCCAACATTCGCCGGCAAGCGCAGCAGTAGCAATTTAGCCGAAGAGTTTTAACATCTAGCTGTCGGGCATTATACCTCCGAACGATCGCTCAAGTGCTGCGTGCCTGAATCTCGGCTGGGAACTACAGAAAACAAGTGCTATCTGCCAAGTATAAACATACGCACCGGTTTCTCCCCCACTATTATCTGGTCTGGAAGTGCCATAAAACATTCTTACTCAAAGGAAACCCTTAAGAGTAATTACTTTGGATCCACCCCTAGGATAGCTCGAAATAAAGCCCCCTTTATGTGCCTGGGGAGGACACAATAGGTGGGTGTCAGCCTCCGTACTTACATCCTCCAGGGGTGTAATGGATGCGCTCTCCCCTCCATAGTAAGAGTTACGATCCATGTGAAGGACTTTCTTTCCATTCACTGACATGATCCCGGAGAGGATGCATTCCTACAGAGAGAGGAAACAAAGGACGCAAGGGACACATTAGTTGCATTTGAGCCTCCTTCCATTTTTACTACCGATGCTCTCTCAAAGAGCGTGTTCAGACAGCCTGCTGCATGCCTAGATCTGAAGGTACCTGCACAGTCCTTTGAAAAACACACCAGTTGCCTCACTCCAGAATTGAGACATGCATGCCGAAAGACTTCTAGTTGAGACAGATTAACCCCTGCTAGGTTCGCTGTCTGCTCTGAGCAAGCCAACCAAGATGTTTTAACTACACAACCACCGCCTACCAGGGCTCCCCTGAGGATATTTCTGGGAAGTTCACGCATTTGGGCTAGATTAGGAAAATCTATACTCCTAAACCACCAGCTATCAAGTTAAGGATGTTCACAGACAGGCAGCACCCTCGTTTATGGGTGACACCAGGAGCATAAAGCCTTGCCTTACAGGACTCCAGGTAGTCTCCTCAAAACCTCAATCTTTGATATCTGCCACACCGGGACACGCAAGAGAGTCAACAGCTACTCTTAAGAGGATAGAGGTAGCATAAAGAATAAATTAAGCCATTTGGGAGCTTTATCATCTCGGTAGACACTTTGCTATCCCTGCTATGCACCCACTGAGATTAAAAACACCGAGATTACTCTGAGCAGCAGATCAGCTGCTGTGTCTGAACGCAACACCACGAGGCTGAGACTAATCGCAGAGGGACACAGGTTGTAGCTTGCAGAGCAAGCTAAGGACTTGCACGGCTAAATCCCCATTAAAACCCAACTTTGCAACTAACCCGGTCACCGGCTCTGGCATTCACAAGCCAAAGAGCTTAACAAAAACTTGAATACTTGCATGCTTAGGACTGCTTATTGTGGAGGTTTTACCGATCCTTCCTGCTCTGCCTCAACTCTCTCCAAAGGCAGAATTACATCTGCAATTGAGTTCTCATTCACCACCAACATTATCTAATTTGTAGGTCCCGGCTACATCTCATGTTATCTTTCTTTCAGCCTGTAAAACCCCACATCCAGCTGCTGAGAGATGCCACCGCTGCACGCCTGCACGCTCAGGAGCAGAGGAGCCGTTCGCTCAAGAGAACCGGCAGCTTGGCCCTCCCGGCAGAGATCCGCATCTCCGTGAGATCCTTCGTGTTTACTCCACATGCATCTCGCCCCGCGGAGCGCTCAGGGCTCTCCTCGTGTGTCACTTCCCCCTTGCTGCAGCGTGTAGGAGGCTTATTTCAAACTATGTTATGGCAATGCCGGCCAATACGGGTATCAGTTAGCGCACTCAGCCAAACCACAGTTATGACGCAAAAAGTCTCCCACCGTATACTGTTTACATGACTTGCAAATCCTAACTCCGGTAAATCCTCAGTGCGAAGGAAGCTTTTTAAAATCATCTTCAACTTTACCAGCCAAGGACCAACCCACGGTAAAGGCAGCTTTCAGGAGGGGTTATTTTGTTCTGAAGCGTCTCAACACCTGTAGATGCGTGGATGGTTGGCAGGGATCGCTGGCGTGAGGACTTGCTGTTCTTGCGCTTCCAGGTGGCAACGGGCAAGTCTTCTCTACTGGGAGAGCAAGGCACTGCTAGCCAGCCTGTTACCCACCAGGATGCCACGGTAATTCAGCCAAGGCCCCCAAAAGCAAAGCCAGAGCTGCCTGCCCGGTGCACGGCAAGAATGGGCCACTCTGAGTTTAATCCCTCAAGTCATGGGTGGTTTCAAACACGGTGCCCACAAGGCCTCGTGGTCACCACACGGATCCTGAATACAATTAGCCGCAGGACTTCCCACAAAACCTCTCCATGACCCATCAGCTGCTCCTTCCAGCACCGTACCATCCTCCACAGACTCCAGATCCCTCATGTCCTACAAGGCCCCTTCACTTTTTCCAGACAGGCTGAAGCAAGCAGAGACCCTTACAGCAGACACGGCTGCACCAAACCCTGCGTTAAGACACTACTCGAGAGCGCCATAAGCCCTACAAGGCTGAGGAACTGCAAGAGCGAAAGTACAGGTGGCTTTTATGGTGTCAGTTCAAACGTTAATGATTTACCACAGGCAAAGTGGGACTATCACACCAAGTGCATCACCACTAGCCAGCACGATCTCCTCAGTTAAACCGAATTTCACAGAGCTCTACGCGAGGGCTCCGGTTTGACTCTTTGCTCTAACCTGTGGTTTTATTCCCCCGGAACATCTTCCAAAACACCGGCTCACCAGCTCTACCAGTACAGGACTGCTAACATCCGTGCCGGAGCCGAGCCACGAAGAAGCCAACCAGGATTTCAAAGCAAAGTAAGTATCAACTGGAGGGATGAAGTTACAATAAAAGCTGCAGAAGCTATATTCTTCAGTCCAGATGTCAGCTGATTTCCTCCCTCCATTTAAGGAAACTTCAAAGCATTTCTTGCTCTGTCTTCTCAGAGTAGCTCACCCATCACTTCCCACTGAGCGTGTATCCTTTCAACAGGTTTGCCAGCATCCCCCAGAGCGAATTTGGGTACCAGCAGAAGATATAAGAGGTCTTAAGTATCTTCTCAACCTTATTCCATACCCATTAAACACCGATATGGGGATAGAGGTGGAGGTATTACAACACTATTTTATCCAAGGCTCATTTAACAGGTTCGTTATATCACCCAGGCTCCTGCAGAGCCCCGAAGCGTTGAAATCCCACGCAGGCCTTTCACCATCGCTTCCCTTCGCAGCCGATGAGGCAACAGCACGGTCATAAAACACACGAGACGCACAATAGATTTATCCTCCCAGCTCAGCAATTCCTTTCGACGGCTGCGCTGGCTGACCGCTGGCTATACCCATCCACGGTCGCGCTAGTCTGCGTCTAAGAACCGCTTGATATGTCATTATGTCGTTTGGGTCAGGGAGCGAGGAAAACAAACAGCCTGTACCGATAAGGGAAGGGCTAGAAACAGTTTAGACTGCAAATAAAAAAGGGGAAACGTCAGAGTTCAAATCTATGGCTTTCTGACCGTCTTATAATCATCAACCCCGTGCAAACAGGTAAAACTGAGCCGCTGCTGACAGCAGAAAGGGCACCAAGACACAGCAGGGAAAGCTCCAGGTATCCAGCCGGGGTCGAACACAATCTTCGTGGAAATTACAGTCACGCTGTGCTACTATAATCCACCGCTTCAGCCAGTTCAGGTTACGATGGGCTCCCGGCTCCCGAGAGCTCGCATTGTGTTGCCGAATGAATGACAGAGCAAGTCTTACAGCGATCGATGTCATCTGCAGCGCCGCTCGGCCACTTCAAATGGCCGGAGAGCACAGAACCAGAGAGCAACGTGCATCAGAAACGTAGAGACAGCACACTCGATACAAATCCATGAAAAAAAACCTAGGAGTAAGGGGTAACTCGGAGGTATTGGCGTTTCCGTGCTTGCTTAAGACCATCAGCTCTTCCCTTGCTTGCACAAACTGGTCACGAATAGACCTTCTGCACGCAGAAGCCTTCGGGAACCAAGGGAAGCAAGTAGGTTTACATGGATTTTCTCCAAGTAGGGCGGCAGTTCAGAAAGGCTCAGACAGACCGATGGAAACTTGAGCCAGTGTCGGTCCATCTAACGGCGCTGAGGGCAGGATTCTACGCAAAACATTTAGCAAAATCCCTTCGAGACTGGGTTCTGGCACAGCAAGAGCTCTTTCTTAGAAAGACAGGGCCGTGCCGTGGTGAGCAAGAAGTTACACACAGCTCGTTGGCATCGCCCAGGCTATTCCAGCTCTAACATAGGCTGGCTACGTCTACCGTGCCAGACTCCAGCAAGCAAGACTCAAAAGCTCTGCTTAGCCATACAAACTGCAAAAGCAATTACTCACTGCACTTGAGCAATCCCCTCAGCTCCCAGGGGATGATGCAAGGGACAGTGACACTCCACTTGGTCCTCGCAGTCACTCTGATGTTCTTTATTTAGGCCCTTTAAGGAATGAGGCCTGTGCCTATATGATTAAATGTATCTTGAACCAAAGAGTTTGGCGACTCTGCTCCTATAGAAAGTGAATCTGTATCTTTGCGATGGATTTATATAGCTTTAGCGCAGGGAGGCAGCTGGCAGGTAAGAAGCTTAGTTCAACACACTGGTGCCTGCAATGAGTGAAAACCCAGCAGGACCATGGTCTTCATCTACCGGGGCTAAACAGGGTAGTTTAATTACGCCCAACGCTCATGTCGTCTAACCCACGTCGTCTGGAGCACAGAAAGCAGATAACAAACGCCTGTCAGGGGGCACAACATCCCACTCCCGAACGTCCCGGTGAGCAATTACCGAGTCCTTTCCAGACCACAGAGGCGTAAGTTAAGATGAACTGAAAATACAAGTCTGAAAATAAAACCACTAGGTGTTCTCCGGCCTGCCGATTGCTGCACCAGATTAAAAACGGGTTTGTGCAGTAGGTCTGGAGAAAGATGCTGCCTAATCTGCAATGCACGACGCACCTAGCAAGCCTAAGCCAAGGATCTTAAAGCTATTAAGACTCGAGCAACTTGGAGAAGCCATTCCCACCAGCACCTCCAGGATGCGGTAGCTGGAAGACCCACCAGCTCTCGCGCTAGGGCAGCCAGACCCACCAGCGCTTTGCAAATACCAGCAGACACAGCCTGACACTTCCCCGCCGCTCAGTGCACGGAGGGATCGGGAGGAGCGTAGCACTCTCGTCTGAGCGCTGGGAAGTTAATTATACCTTGTGTAAGTTTGAGGCTGTCGTATCAGCAGTAATTCAGGATTAATGATGCTCTGGGATTATTTTTCCCCATACTGCTAAGACGTATCTTTACAAGCTTGGCGCTGCAATGGGGTCTCCCATTTGCATACATAAGGGAAAAAGTTAAAATATCTCAGTGCCAGTAATCCCAGTCCTAAAGCTGCCTGAGCTCTTCATTACTGGTTGAAGAAGAGATTAGCACCTGAAATATTCACGTTGCGCTTTCAGATCCATCAAAAGTGGAATTTACGCATGCACTCTTGTGCACTTACGTAGCGGTGGC